ATCATTTTGAAATGCGCTTTTTTTTTCATCCTTAAGGGCCTTGAACTTTTATGGTTTGATGGATTTGAGATGTCCCTGTAGGACACACAAGTACATAATCCTCATTCCTTTAAACTAAGTGGTAGCCTCTGAAAAGAGCCTTTTAAAAATCCCAAACCCATATGTAAGGCATGACAGGGGCCACAAAGCTAGAACATTCCCTTCGGTAGGCCCAGTGGGGAAAAAATCAATAGATACACTTACACTAGATCCTGACCCCTGTCCTAAGGCCACCAAAGTCACTCTCCCTTCCCACTTCCCTGAGCCACACAGCAGGAGGGACCCAACCTCTGCTAGAGGCTGTCCCCACACACACTGCACAGTAGGGCCTGCAACTCAGGTAACCATGGCAACCTGAGACCTTCCCAGGGCACTTCCTTCGCCAAATCCAGGCAGCCAAGCACAGGAGCCTGCTGGCTGGTGCCAGGGTGCCCCTGCCCCCCAAAAACCCAGGGAAGATGGGGTGATTCCCTCCACTCTCTCCTGCCACTGGTCCAGGCACTACCTAGCATTCCTCGGAATGTCAGTTCTGCACCCAGTGGGCTACCTCTGGGCATTTGGGGTTCTCAGAGATCAGACTTGGAGTTTTGAGGGGTCACACTCAGGCAGAGGCTGGGTATTTTCATTTGCACAGAAACGACCTCCAGAATGACCTCCCATCAAGACTCTCTAAGAGTGAAGGTGGATGCAAGAGGGGGTAGGGCCAGAGCAGCTGAAGCAGGGGAGGAGGGCTGGAGCCCCCAGACCATGCCCTGGGCGCCTCGCCACCTGTGGTACCCTCTCCCCTCCCTCCCTTTACAGATGCAGTGGCTTTAGTAGAGTCACCTTCCTGGGGTGGGGTGAGTGGAAGAGCAAAGGGCATGGGGAAAGGACAGAATACACCAGTTCCTTCTCAGGAAGACAGGACAAGACTGTGTTTGTGGAGAATCCCAACGGCCAAGAGCTGTGAGTGGCTGTGTGTGGTACCTGCTCTCCCAGGACCTCCCCGTCACCCCCACAGCCCCAGCCCTGCCAGCCACCCACACATAGCCAGCACCCCCGGTCCTTACTTGGCCACTCGCTTGGTCTTCAGCCGTGGCAGCTGCTGCCCCACATCCCCCAGGGGCTGCACCTTCCCATGGGACACAGCGGGACACTTAGGTGAGAGCCTGGCAAAGACCGGCGAAGTCAAGCAGCCTCGTCTGAGAAACCGGCTGAAGGACAGAGCCACGCGGGCCTTGGGAGGGGCCCTGGGCTGGCTGCGAGGCCAGGGACAGTCGACAGAGGCCCCACTGCTCTCGGTGACGAAGGGCCTGCTGTAGAGGGCGCTGGCCTCCCCCTTCTGCTCCAGGCCTGAGGAGCTCTCCAGGGCCACTCTGATGGGTGAGGGGCAGATGGTGCTGCTGGGCCGCCTGATGAAGCGGCTGGGCGAGGGGAAGGGCCTCCTGGGAGACCGGCAGGAGGAGGAGAAGGGGCTGGAAGGAGAGGGAGGCACGCAGGTGCCGGTGTACACGGCCAGGTGGGGGCTGGGGGCCGTGTGCTGGCCCGGCTGCAGAAAAGGAAAGGAGAGCTCAGTGGTGAGTCCAGCAGCCCAGCCAACAGGGCTCCTGCTGCCCTCTGCTCACTAAGCCCTCCCAGTGGTCAGAGAGCAGACCTGGGATGGCTGCCCCCTGGCAAGTGGGAACGATGCCCAGCACCACCAGTGACAATTCCTAGCCTCAGTGCCCAAGACCAGGCCTGGGGTCACCCCTCAACTCATCCCTAGCTTAGTGCCTAATGGGACTCCTTCTCTGTCCTTGGTCCTCACCCTCAGTCTATAGGCCTTTTGAACACTGGAACAGAGCAGTGGGGGTGGTGGAAGTCCCAGCATGTGTTTGGCTGAGACCTCAAGCCTGTCCTGAAGCCCAGCAGGTGTCCACACTGGCAACACTTTGGGGACGATCTAGTCCAAGCACCTTCCCAAGCCTCCCCCCAGGCAGAGAGCAGTGGCCAGGAAGAAAGGCTGTAGGACATACAGGGTCAGGTGGCTGCTCAGTGGAGGACAGGGAATATTTCAATCTCCCTGGGCACCATGGCCCTCCCCTTACAGAACACATGGGCCCACGAGTTTGAGTTTGCCGTCTCCCTCCGAAGTCCTGCTGCGCACACACCACATCAAAGCCCAGTGTGAGTGGAGCTGGAGGAGGCACTGGTCCTGGAGCCTGGGACTCTGAGACAGTTGGACCAAGGCCGCCTCCAAGAAAGAATTGGAAATGACCTCCGTGAAGAACAAGCCCTCTTTGAAAGTGCCACAGCACAAGGGCATTCTGCTCAGAGAGATCTGCCAAAGCCAGGCTCTGCCCTGGGGCAGAAGGAGGCAGCCTGGGGCACTGGGCAGGAGGCTGCTTGATTCTGCAGAGTATGGCCTGGTTTCCAGGTCATCAGAGTGGGCCGGACCCAATCTGAAGCAGGAAGGGCAGGCGCACCCAAGGACAGCCTTTGGAGGAAGAGAAGAGCCAAGGGGGCTCCAGACTTTGGGCCTGGTGGCTGGTGTTGGAGATAGGGGTGAGTGGAGAGGGTCTCCATTCTCTGGGACCAGCTTCCTGCAGTTCAAACAAGGTTCTGTACTGAAAGAGCAGCTCAGAGCCTCCAATTCTGCTGCACAGCCTGGTCTCCCACAGGCAGCAAACCAGAGCCCAGGCCTGGGGTGCTGGATGGTTAAAGAACTGATCATTATTATGTTAATTTGCAGTGAAAACTCAGCAAATGTGAGGCCCCAGGCTGAACACTTTAAGTGATAATTATGAATTATTGCACTCACTCTGCAGAAAGCAACTACCATCCCTATTTTATAGATGAGGAGACTAATGATTCAAGAAGCCAGCCCATTTCCCCAGGCACACCTGGTGGGAACACTGGGCAGG